ATCCAAAAAAATCGAAAAAAACCCAAAAAGTCACAACAACTGCGGCTAGTTGAAAATCTAGTATGCATAGGTTGAAATAAAATACAAACATACTCTCTAATAGCGAATTCCATAAACTATAAGTATGACTAAAACCCAAAAATCCCCAAAAAATCCAAAAATCCGCTAATTTTTGGTTAATTTTTGTCTTTTTTCGTTATTTTTCGTTAATTAACGGAAAATTAACGGAAATTAACCTCTGTCCGCTATTAACGGATTCGGGTGGCCACCTCTAGCGTGCACGGATCCACAAATATCCCCGGAGGGAGAGAAAGCACCGCTCCGCCATGGAGCATGGCGGAACCGGAGGGTCCGCCCACACCGAATGCGAGCACGTTCGACCCGCCTGCGGAACGCGGGGATGCTCCGGCCATGGCGAGGGAGGGCTTCCGACGGTCTCTGCACGGTCGGGGAGGCTGGGGTGTTGCGGCGCGCCGAGCAGACCGGGCACAGCGGGCATAGGCGGGGCGCAGGCGCAACCCGCGCGGACCAGATGCAGGAGGGCGCGGTCACATCCGACATACGGTACATTACACGAAATGTCAAAAGGGTGGTCTCCCGTACGGGTGCAAAACCACAAAGTACTGTTAGCAGCCGCACCCAACGTCCCATCACGCCTCAATGGACCCTATACCTTGCCAGTACCTGTCCTGTCAAGGTCCTAGGACCTTTTGCAATAGTTCAGGTCCATCCAAGGACACCCCCTACGGTTCATGGTCTCCTCAAAAGGGGTCAGGAATTGGCCGTTTTTCCCTCTGAAAGTCACTCACAAGGCCCTTACAAACCGGTCAACCTCTCACTCAGGGTCCCTCACCACACGCTCTGCACACACCATGCCTCTTTTTCCCCGGCTAATAGTACTGGACAATCTACCATAATCGCATACTAAACCCAATTCTGTACACCCAAATTCCATCACCGTCAAACTGTATTGTATCCCGTCAGCATGCAGCTCCAGCTGACTAGTTTTCGCCCTTTTCCTTGACCAGTTCACAGCCCAGTCACAGCCGTCCGTGTTGCCCGTAGAGTGCTCTTCAATTGACGTCATTGTTGCTCATTCTGGACGGTTCTGATGAGCGGCATTGCAAAACAGCGAGATGGAGGATATCTCAGCTGTAAATGCATCGATTCATGTGCACTGGAGAGAAGCTGAGCGTGCACACGTTTGCCTTGAGCATTCAGCAGCCGCATGACCACCAAATGTAACCGTATGTCATGCGGTTCAAGGTAACTTCTGCTGAGCACATTGGCCTTTCCTTTCTCTACGGTTTTCTCTCGATTACAGTGATGGCCATTTACTTGAGCAGATTGGACTGTAATCGAACAAGGCATACATTGGGTGCCTGAGGGTGCCCGTTGTAGGTCTTGTTTCTGCCCAACCGGTCTGCTGCAATTTCCCCCAAATGCTTGGAAAACGCTCTTTGAGCAGGCCAGGTAGATGCAAAACAAGATGAAAAGAAAGCCGAGGGGAGCATATAGACAATCGCCAAGAAATGCCCGCCAAACCACTGGCCCACCTTGAATTCCCGGCCCTCATATTGACCCAAGGTATGGGGGTGACAGAAATCCAACGGGCATGCTTCAACCTGGAGTTACTTAAGGTCGCGTCAACCCAGGACCTGTCGGCGCGAGCCCGCCCATTGGCCCCGTCGGCAGGAACACGATAGTTAATTCCATACTTCTTCTTGTCGTCAACCAGCCTGCCCCGTCCCTCCCTCTCGTTGGGGTCAATCCGTACCTTGATACCAGTGTGACTCAGCAACACCTTACAAAAAATCAGCGCAACATCAAGAAATTTGAGCTGCAGGCGATGATTGGGGCTCAAGAATGAGATACAGAAGCGATGGCAAGTGATGGGGCAAACCCTGAGGCTGTCAAATGATGCATTCTGGGTTAGTATCCTAAGATGAAACTCCAAATGCTGCTGATCAACTGCAAAAAAATCAAAGAACGGCTGAAAATAATCGATATAATCGATATAATATATTGATTTTGAGGCTATTGCACATGTTCCTAACGTCACAAACATGAATACACCCCACCCACCTTCCCCATCAGTTGGCGCTAAGCGACCAACATCTGCGAGTGCTTGTCCCTTGTCGCATAGTGATCACCGTGTTGCATGCCACTCGCGAATCTGTGATGGTCGACTGGCCCTGAGCCATGCCACTGTTGGTGATCTTATTGCATGGGTTGGTCAAGCTATAGCACTAGAGCACTGGTATAGAACAAGGGAATTTCAATACACTCCAGGGATTCGGAAAAATTCTGTCATGTGGATGCATGGGAGCTGCGTCAGTGGCGCTAGTGGTCTCAGTTGAAAGGGCGGTGGATCCACGATTATCCTGGGGTCCATGCCCACTACGTGGGTGCACAGGTGTCTGGGCTTTGGGGAGCTTTGGGAAGGGATGCAAGTCGTCATTACTGATCACAATATAATCGCATTGCCCAGTGAAGCCGCTGCTCCACTGCATCCACCAGCGCACATGCATAGCCTGGATAGGCCTCTGTTGCAACCACACAGGCTATAGTCCGGGATGGTGTCTAATGCTGTTGCGCTGCCTGTTTAATCCAGTCTCCTTGATCCGTATTGGCCACCCGAGCATCGCTTTTGTGTTTCGTTATCCGGCAAAAACAGACAAAAAGTTGGGTCGCCATGTCCAAGAATTACATATTGTATTGCGGGCGGAATACAAGTTGATCATGTTTATTGACCTGTAACAGTATTAGTGCAATGGGGCAAGAGATGTTGGACGACAGGGCAGCGCTGACGCCACAACGTCGTGGTGTCACGTTCTCGCAGCCAGGTCTGATTGCTGCTGGTGTCATCCTTCGGTGATAATGACCATAGGACAACGTTGACGGGAATGTGACTCCATGTCGGGTCGGTATGATATACCTTACCAAAGGAACTTTGTCAAAATAGAGATGTGTACAATTACGGCTGCACGGAAATCGTGTGGCAAAGCGAGAATCGATGGCTGGGTGGTTGTCACGCTTGGTGCATGGGAGCATGTTATCTACGCAAAGCTGCCAGATCGCTTGAATGTGAATGTAAGCACAGTATACTGTTGCACACAGAAGGGATCCGATAGGCTGTGTGGGTGACGATGTGACGTGTCAACGATGGACTACAAATGGGGTCTGCAGCGCGAGCCCAGCGCGAATTGGGGCGCAGAGCACCCTCACACAAACCACGAACTTGTCAAATCCCAAAGTGCCCTGTGCGCTTACGTAATATGTTTGCTGACAGAAGCGTCAAATCTGTGCGTGTTTGAAGTGCATCCACTGAGCTGACAGATCCGGCTGCCACAGCTGTTTGGGGTGGAGCATAAAACCGCATTGTACAATGGAGGCAGGCAAAGAAATATTGTTTGCAGTTGGGAGATGGCAACAGGCGATGCTCGACATGGGATACTGCCTCGACGGGCCAGCATATCAACGTGTTGATTTCCTGCTCGGATTACAAATGAGCACGCAGGTTTGAAGCTTTTGCCACCCTACGCCAGCGAAATCCGTCAACTTGGGTGAAGCATTGGTGATCAGCTGGTTAGCTGTGGCACGGCAGTGGCAACGCCAGCATCAATTGCCAGTGCTCCCAAGTCAATCCAGGGTTTGCTTGAGTGGTGCTGTTTGGGGGTGCTGCAGAGCAGGCAAGGTTAAAGTGGGGGCAGGGAATCTTGCTGTATCTGGTGGACAGGAAGTTCGAAACACCGCGCCAGTGGCACGGCCGCCACAATAGCACGTTGCTGCTGTGGCGGTGCAAGGCTCCGTTCCGACTTTATTTAAGAGTCCCAACTGAGTTACGTACCCTGGGCCAAGGCGTGTTGCGACAACCCAGCGAGCCAACCAACGCCAGCACATTAGAGTACTGTTGGGATAGTAGGGCCGTCCTGCGATACTGTGGCTCAGAACTATGTACTGACCTCAAGTGCTCACAGGACATGAAACAAGGATCGGCATTAACTTGGGGGAAGAGGGTGCCAGAGCTTGGTGTTTGTTGAGCACTAAGCTCATCAAATCAAATCAAGATAGGCAAAATGGGCCGACCTAACTGTTTTGCATGTAAGTGTAGCAAATCTTACCCGGCGTAGATGCTGCCGGGAGTGGTGGTCATTTCCCCTCGCGCAACCTGCCATGTGCGTTCACGCGGGACAAAAGAAAGATCAGAACGCTTGGCCGAAGGCCATAATCTGACTTGGTCGCACATTGGACCCTCCTCACCAGAAATCGTTGTGTCTCTTTCCAACTCTGTGGAGCCGCCAGCAACAAGAGCGAACTAACAGGAAAGGAAGGAGAGGGAGTCTGAGCTCTTCACTAAAACGTAATGCGTTGCAAAACAAGCAAAGCAGAAAACAAGCACCATGGAGGAAGACAGCGGACATATACACTAAAATTGTCGGTGTGAATGGCATTCGAAGCAGCACGTATCTCAATGGCATTTTGTCTTATCGCGCTCTCCTTGGCAAGGACAAATACTCTGAAGTATTCAAAACCCTAAGGAAGTACTTCACAGGGAGGTATTTCACAGGGAGGCAGCCTATGTGCGCGGTCGCTGATAACAACGACACAAAACTGCAATCTTCAAGCTCTCAGGTTGTGGTGAAGGTCCCCATGCCACTGAACGCTCTTGAGATATGATATCATACAGCGATAAAGCAATCCTGCAATCCTTTCACATGTTCACCCAATCTACACCAGTGAGCAAGCATCCAACAGATGGAGCAAAATTACAACACACGAGGCACATAAATACTGCCAACCCGTGGGTAGCAAAAACACGATTATTGGCACGACGCAAAATCGCAAACAGCACTGCAGACACGCCCCTCGATTCGCCGCAGTACCCTTTGAAACTTTCCTATCGGGTGCCGCATCTGCCCTCCAGTCACAACTGCTACTTCAAAATTGGACAACACTGCTGCGCAGTAGACATACCTGCCCAAGTTGACGGCGCTGAGTCAGCGCCGTTGATAGTTCAGAGAGGTTACAGCCACCACTGTCAACACCCGCACTACCACAATGAACAGGAACATAATTCCCACACACCACCACCGAAAACTGTGGTCGAAGTCGAACCTGTCCTTGATGAACTGCGACACGGTCAGATTTCCTGCAAAGGTGGACAGTTGGGCATTGTTGTCACCCAGCTCGCTGGCAGTCAGCCCATGTACGATGTACGTCGTGGGAACAATCGTATTCATCCACCTCCAGCCTCGTGGCATCTCGGATTCCGCAATCAGGAAGCCATTGAACAAGGTCCAAACGAAGTGCGAGACTGCCAGGGGACAACAGTGTGTCAGCGGACACTCTCCTCACAATCAACTGGCGACTTCACGCCGGACCCAACCAAACATAATGCTCCCAATTCGCACGGATTCTGGATGGGCAAGATTTCAAGTTTACAGTCCGCTTGACTACCACCTGCAGCCCTAAAATCGATCTACCTCCGCCAACAGCACTGATGATAGACCCAAGTGCACTGGTGCACGGCCCCAAGAACGGATGCATGAGTGCGGATGCTAGAGAGCAGATGCATACAGCTTGGGACCCCAGCACCACCAACACCCCAAACCCACCACACACATACATGTGGATCATGTCCACAGTGACAGCAGATAAGAGTGCTCCCATGCAGTCATTGGTGTGCCACTAAAAAGTCTAAGGCCAACATCCGAAGCCGAGGCTGCCAGGTGGGCAGCACACAAACATGAGCATTCAAAAGGCACGCTGAGGTCACGTCATTGAGTATATACCATTTCATGCTGAACACAATGGTGGCCCTGCCTCAGTGTCGAAAACAAAGTTGGCAAGACAAGAGGATGAAAACGAACACGATTGAGCCATGGCAGCAACCCTGCACCTAAACGACAGCAGTTGGACCATTGTATTTCAACGCAATGCATTCGTTCTTTCTGGCAGCGACAATCATCTGGAGCATTGCGACTCACATGCTCCAAGGACTTGCGCAATCTCTGGCACTGGCGTGAGGTACACTAGCATTTGGCCATAGAACGTGTACAGGGACAGGCTTTCCAGAAACATGATGAAGAAGAACACGATCTTCTCAAAGCTGACTTCGAATTGTATCATGAAGTACACAATGGGGGTGAACACCAACGCCTGTCACACAACACATCAGTGCTGCCATTATGGTCAGAACAAGTTGGGGCCATTGCAAGGAACCTTGTGCAGCTGGCAAAGTACGCTGCTACCACCGCTACTTCACAAACTCCTACAACAGCCAGCACAAATACAAACCAAAAACAGCGGCCTATGGTAACACAGGTCATGAGTTTGGCTGTGTGAAGAGACATGGCCGTCCATTGCCTGCTAGAGAAAGAAAAATCCGCAACGCGCATACCAATCCTCTTGTATCACCAATTCCTTCAACGCTTATCAATGACAAACATGCCAGTACGATAATCCACAGACATTCAGCAATCTGCACTCTCACTACAGCACTACACCAAGCCATCCGAGCCACAGGGTGCGCAAGAAAGGGCAGGGCAAACGGCAGCATCATGTGGTGTCGTTACATAACAGCTATCGCATGTAGCTGACTCTTGGGCGCACGCCAATACGACAACAGTTTGTCCATTGGCATGCCAAACAGCACGAGCTCCTTGCAGAGCATACAACAACTGATGAAAGGACAGCGAAATGCTGAATGCTGCAGAGGTCTCCATGCAAGGTTTGATTAACATCCCCTGCAAAGGTCCCGATGCTATTCTTCAGTTCGTCACACTCTGATGCAAAGTCAATATCAAATGTCGACACCTTCAGCTGGATACGGGAAAGATCCATTGCAGATCCTTGACACATCATACTGCTGCGGGTGTGCGACTTGTTTTGTCTCACATCTTCACAGATGAAGCTATAATGCATTGCTTGCTCTCTTGCTCATGGAGCACTGCTGGACGCAGCACAAGCCACAGAATACTACCACATCCACAACATGAAATTTACCTGAGCTGCGAGATAAGGCAACTCCACCAATCCGGACGCCAAAGCGTAGGGAGCAGCCTGGTACATCGATGCTGCTCGCTCCTTATAGTAGACCTCTCGCTCAGCCGCCACAACAGGCAGAACCGTGATCAGGTTGGTCATTCCCATGAACGACATTGCAACGAACAGGACACCCATGATGTTCTGCACGTTCGCAACTTCAGTTGTTCCATCTGAGTCACGGGGAATGTCGCCCTCCCCATAATACAGCGACCCAAACACCAGTGCTACGACGGCGGTCATAATCATGCGTACAAGATTATATGCTGGAGAGCGCCAGTAGGACACAAAGAACTTGTGCAAAAGGACCTTCGCCTGGAGGCTGGGAGGAACAGCGAAAACGGTTGACAACTTGAGGGGGGAGCAGCGCTCCTTCAGTGAGGTGCACAAACGCTCTGCCTCAGCAGCATTGATCTTGAACAGTTCACTGTCCTGCGAGCAAACAACATGCAGATAACAGCAAGTGAAGAACAGAATTGCAGATGGCTAGTTGTCACCAAGAATCCAATTCACAATGTGACACAGGCCATGGCTACCCCTCCGCGGTTCTCCAACCCACATGGACCCATAACCTAAGGGTTGCTGCAGCAGGAAATATTCATGTTTGCACAATATTACAAACTTATCGCTCCACAGAACAGCAGAAAAGTGAACACTGCAGATTACAAAGATTTCAGAAGGCAACCTGCAGCACTGCAACTCTGAGCCATGCTCACGAGCGGTGCAATACCTGGTATGCCGCAGTAAAGTCTTCATCAACTGCATCCACCATTGTCGTCATGGCGCCACCAGTGCACTCAAGCATCCAGGTTGACGGATTGTATCCAGGTTGCAGCTTGGGAACGTGGGGTATGCTCTGCAAGTACTGAATCAGCTGGGTGCTTTCATGTCCCAATGGCCCGAAGTATATGACCTGTAGGGGTGTGCATGTAGCTCAGAGCTGAAGTCCAACTTCAAAATGCAACCGAGTCCATCGCAGCTAGATAGTAGGTATGAGTACCTCTGGTGATAAGTACCTCTGTACTTGGGTAGACGAATATATGTCTGCACAAGCTACCACCAATCGCAGACAGAGGATTAGCAAAGGTGAGAAGCGTTTCTGCCTTGGAGTGCCTGCCGCCAGACATTAAACTCATGCCACAACACCTTGAACGTTTCATTCACAGCAAAGATGCCTCGCAAGTGTACTTACGCTTCCCCCCATTTGTATGAGCATCAGATTGTCGAAAGTCTCAAATATGTCGATTGAAGGTTGGTGAATGGTGACGATGACTGTCCGACCATTCAGGGCCACATTTTTCACTGCTCGGATGACAGTAGACGCAGCACGTGCATCCAGCCCTGTTGTAGGTTCATCCATGAAAACAACACTAAACACGAAAGCAGCAGAAGCTGTCAGTCATTCACAAATTCTCAGAACACGTGGCAGTTGCAGTTTGAAGGTAAGAAATACAATCAAGAGATAGACATGTTGACATCTGGCAATCTTCACCTGACTCTCAGCCAGGAAACTTTGACCAATATGCAACTGCTTCGCCAGGACCGGCACGTTCCCACACAGTCCCACACAGTCGCTGCCTGTTGCATCAGCGAAGCGTTGCTCCAATTTGAGTATCAGATCCAGGAGCACACCCATGGATCTCATTGTTGATTCGCACAACCTTTGGGCCTCACCTGGGGTTTGCAACAAGCTCCACAGCAATGCTGAGTCTTTTCCTCTGCTCATAGGAAAGTCCATACAATCCCTTCACTCCAACTATGGAGTGCTGAATGTCAGTGAGATCCACGATAGACAGCACCTCGTCAACAACAGCCATCGCCTTGTCGTACGTTACAGAGGTATCCAAACGCAACCTGGCTGAGAATTCCAGAGCTTCACGAACAGTTACTGCGGGTGAGTGGGAATCTGTCTGCTCCACATATCCAACCACCCTGCTCCAAGTCTTTTGCTCCTTTGGGTATCCTGCAGGCAGTCAGTGGACATAAGTGGAAGATGCTTGTGAAGCATTCATTGACTGGCAGCAAGTTGAAATGATCAAGAGCCAGAACAGAAATATGCCACTGGCATGGGAATTTGGCTCTCTGTGACTCTCAGACTGCCAGTGCCAGTCCCAACAGCCTTATCTCTAAACTGACAGAGGTACATGACCACAATCAATGAACTTCCCCACATGCAAGCAGAGTGGTAGTGCATTCCCTAACAAGGCATCCCTCACCATTTACAAGCAGTTCCCCCTCGATTACGCCTGTAGTCTTGCGGCCTGCCAAAACATCCATTAATGTCGTCTTTCCTGCACCTGCGCATCAGTTGGCAGCCAATCGGTAAGCTGCAACTCATTATTATCATGCTCAGAAGTGCTCCAAAGCGACCCAGTGCTGACAATTCCAAGACAAAAATGGCGCATATCAGCCACAACAGCCACACACACACTGACTGCATCCAGGAGCTTCTGCATGGATAAGGAATACAGCCTGCACTTGAGATTGCAAAATGCAAGTCACTGGCAATGGGGGCACACAGCACTGTGCTACAATGCTATTGATACTGCATTTCCTCTCCGACTAATATTGCTGTGCACTTTACAGTGGCATATCACAATACCTGTGCCGCCCATCAATGCATCCAACGAACCAGGACGTGCATAACCTGTGATCCCCTGCAGCAGTTGCAGTTTCCCTCCCACAACTCGTTTATCATTCTTGAGCTGCTTTGGGACATCCACAAAGTATCTGCAGGTCCATTTGAAATATGTGAGGAAGAGTAAAACCTTGAGCCACAGTGCCTTGCGTACATCACAGTCCTCATCAAGCTGAGCCCAGTGCATGCACCCTCAATTGTGTCCACAAACTGTAACAAAGGAATGCACCTGAGCCTGAGTGGGGCAGGAAGGCAATCCAGGGTCTTCAATAAAGAATCTGACCAAAAACATGAAAAAAGGACTCGTGGTGCTGAGGGCACAAAGACATATGCACATCACAACTGAAATGGCTATTGTCCAACTGCATCAGTTTTCAATTTCTTTGCACAAACTTGCCCCAACAGCCAAAATTTCGAGCAATCCATTCTCTCCAGGAGGAATTTATGACAGATCTTCCTATCCTGCATGGGTACTACCTGACACAATAGGACTAGAGGGAGGGAGGCTTCTTTCTAGACAGGCAGCGAGATGTGGGTTGGCAGATCCATTGGACTTTCTGCTGATTTCCATAATAATTCTGCAGGGTCTGCTGGTCTTGGCTTGGCTTCATTTCATCATAGTATTCAATTCCTTTGTCCGTTTGGGAATGGGGAGTTAATATTTTTGCCCATCCTTCATTCACTGTGGAAACCAGCAGAGCAAGTCGCCATAGGCCACTGGAGAAAGCCAATGCACACTGTAAAGTTTAGCATGCCACGACAATGCCTACATGCTTCAAGGGCGTTGTTTTGCCCTTGATGAGGCCATTTTAAGAGATGGAATTCGCACATCTGCTGAAATTGGCAATCAAAGATCATCTCCATGAACGAAAATGTCACCAAGAAAACATTAATGACATCGTCCTTGGCCATAGTCGTGATATCAGAAGCTCACGCCACATACCTGATGTTCTTGTATACTATTGTAATGGGCTCAAAAGGCAGCGCACGGGAAACGCTGTATTCCTGCATGCCACCTGCTGTGCCTTTCTCTGCATCTACCATCAGCTCAATACCCTCTTGTTCAATCCGCTTTTTCATTCGCTGTCTGCGATCCCATGCCAATTTCCTCGCATGTTCCACAGCATCCTTGTCGATTATGACAGCGTGCTTCTTTACTTCCCTTCTGTAGTGCAAAGCAATAGCCGAAAGGGTGGTGCAAACAAAGAACGCTGCAATCAGGTACACGGCACCGATCCAGATCCATTTCCGGTCTGTGTGGAACTCCAGTATGTCCAGGGCTTGTGTGCCTTGATTCAAAGAGAATAAGTTCAGTCCTTCATGCAATTACAAACTTGTGCCTCTCCCCATACAAAATGGATCCAGCAACTCAATGCAGTGCAGTTCAGGCTGTTAGCAGACTGGTCATAAACTGTCGTGATAACATTACCACAATGAAACACCTGCAAACATTTTCATGTGATCTGAGGAGCAGAGCCCTGCATGAACCACTGTCCAGGGCGTTCACAAGGTACCAAGATTGAAACCTGCAGTGCTGAAACAGGTGATCCATCGTTCGCACCAAAATCCCCCCATGATGGCGATGTCATTTCGTTGATTGCAAGGGCTCTGTATCCATAGGCGAATGGGCTGATCCAATATGCCCATATCCACCATCTGTGCATAATCACCAATGTGCTAGTGTCAAAGACTGTGAAGATCAACAATGAAATCCAAACAAACGTGACACAATGTCACTGACATGAAATCAACAGTCGAAAAGACTTTGCCACAAAAGCACAATTGGGGATTGTACTACTGCTCGGGGAACGCTATGATGCTGTGGAGATGTGTGCCCGCATATGTGTCAAGATGTGTTAAATCCCCGAAACACAGGTCAGACAATGGAGCATGCCCTCCTAAGCAAGGCCACGGCGGGCCCTGTTCCACTTGTAGCTTTGTAGCTCCCACTGTCAACAAGAATGTGCGTGTGTGTGTATCTCGATGTGTACAAACAATGAGCTCCATTCACACTATGACATCATTTAGGAATGTGTTGGGCACCTTCATATATGTAATTTGTGTATGTTTTTTCTCTTCTACTCTTTTCTTTTGTTTTATTTTGTTTCCCATTTTTCTTGTGGGGCTGTGTGTGGAAATAAGGAGGGGTGATGTGGTGAATATCTTTGATACCATGGTGTAGCTGAGAAGAGCATGTAACTTGAAACAATGCCATCATCTGCTCTGCAACCAAAGGGCAAGACAACAATATTACACATTGGTCTCTTCTGCTGAAGCACTACACGGGCTGAAGGGGATGACATATAACGAGAATTGAACAGTCCATCGAAGGAATGCTGATGCTGCATCAGCATTTGCCAACACAGCCATGCCAAACCCAAGTGCACTACTGAAACCAACAGCCCATTCAGGGCAAGGATATAGCAGAACTGTGCTTCACATGGTACGACCACCCTACCCAGGAATAGACTGGCGTGTGATTGTGAAGCCTGCAGTGGCCATCAGCATCAGTAGGGTTGTGCCAGCCACTGCAAAGGCGATCACTGCATTTGGAAATGCACAGGCAACGAGACGGAAAACCGATGTTGCCGTGATGTTTGACAGGAACAGAATCAGCCAGAACATGAAGAAGTACTTGGCCGAATCTGCACCAAAGCAAACAGTTGAATCAAGAACCAAGAATCATCCGTGAACTCAGATTATATGTGGCTTGCAAACGAGGCTGTGAAACAGGGATAGCGATTGGCCACGCTGGGCATCTGGGAATTTGACAAAAGGGAAGGAAACCATGCACAAAGCAAACAGTTGAATCAAGAACCAAGAATCATCTGTGAACTCAGATTATATGTGGCTTGCAAACGAGGCTGTGAAACAGGGATAGCAATTGGCAATGCTGGGCATCTGGGAATTTGACAAAAGGGAAGGAAATCGTAGACAGTCTACAATCACCTAAAGCCACATCCATGGTTCCATGTGGTTCCATGCTTCCCTGAGGACACCATGTTCCATCAAGGACAAGGATGCAGGATGGTACATGCACCTCAGGTGTGCAAGGCCCCAGAGTTACCATCCTAGCACTATCCACACCTGACCATCTGCAAAGAACTGCTGCAGGTAAATTCTCACTGCAACTTTGATTTGGGCAGCCTTGTGTGAATGTTGTCCACCAATTGACATGCCAAGCATCCATGTTTGAAGCCAATGCCCACCTGTGCTCAGTCCCACCATGAAATATGTGATCAGCGAGAAGACTGTGGCTTCCATGAAAGAGAACGGAATCTGGGTGATCGCTATGGAATACACATAGCTCACAGAGGAATAGAAGAAGTTCTCCTGGTGCTTGAAGAACACTGGCTTATTTTGAAGCACAATGAAGAGCTGTGGAAGCGCTCCCAAGGACATGAATAACATCATGATGAACATCACACCAAAGAATGGCAGAGCTCCTCGTGGGCTCCTTTCCAGGTCCCAATACAGGGACCCGATAAGGAGGCCAACAATAACAACCTGCAGAAAATCCCAAGGAGCCACTTTCAGGACCAGTATGGAAATTATGAAACAAAGCAACAGCAACTGTACAGCTGTTTTTTGCACCCCATTGGTGGAGGGATGCACAACACGTGCTCACTCTCCTTCCACCATGCGCTGGCACTGCCTCGAGAATGCCAAAATCGAGGTGAAGAGCGCAGATATACTGTGATCTGAGAGCAGTATTTCACATCCTATAAACGCAACACTGTGAAAAAACAATGTGCACACAAGCCAATGGGCATGCTGTCAAACTGGATTGCAATTGGGTGGGTGGACATGCATTTTTCGTTCTGGGTCCACACACTGTGGACAGCTCTTGTGGAGAAGCGCACTTGAATTTGGCCAATATGATCCACCCAAACAAATGCAATGTTCCTCCCAACTGATGTTGACACAGTGCCACACTTGCAAGACCTGACCTGGACAACACTGATATTCTTGTGCAAAACCTCTGTCAGATTGACTTTTCGAGCATCCAACATGCCTGGAAATTGTCAGTGCAAGAAGATGCTCAGCAAGAATCAAGAAAAACACTATGCACGTCGCCTACAGGCACCACAACAGCCCAGTAGATATGAACCAGGATCTTTTGCCACAAGTGATGTTGTGCGAACGTGCAGGCGGCTGGCTCATTGACCTGTGCCATTCTGCCCCTTGCCAGAATTTTGTCCCTGGCAGTGATCATCATTTGGCGGAGGGTAAGTGTCCAAATTGCCTGCAATGGCGACATCGCATATTTCTTGTTCACCAGTGCCTTCGGGTGACTTTCCTCCCTACGCCACAAAGTACCATAATGTTTGTCTGTCTCTAACAGAGGAATTTTGGTCAAGGGTAGCCGAAGCACACATTGTAGAACGCAGTACAATCAATGCAAGTCTCAAGGAACAATGTACTTCAAGAGCATGCTACTGTTGGCCCTTGGGATGTTGGCAAGCACATTAACTTGGCTGCATCAAACAACAGGAGCTGTGGAGGTCCTGACAGCCCAATTTTTCCCTGTGCCCACCATTGCAGGCCAAAAATATCCACAAATGTCTTCCCCACGATGTGCTGTCTGTGCCAAACAAATAATGCCAACGTTCCTATGGTGCTTGCTCAGCTCCAAGAGCCTTGCCCCTGTTCTGGAAGACATAAAGCACAAGTGTGGAACGTTGGGAAGTGGTTTGTCCACAACATACCATTCTCTCCCCACTCGAATTCAAGTTTGCAGCTTCAGTCCTCCCCTTCCCCCCCTTTTCCCTTTTCCACTGCACTGTAATGTGATCAACACTACCAGAGCGGAGTAGCACTGTTACCCTTTTTTGCACAGCTTGTTCCACATTCTCAGATGAAATGCTGCCGGGCGCTTGATGCTCTTAGCCAATGCTTGGGAACACACGATTTCATGTTTCGTCTCTAAAGCAACCATTTCTGCATTCTTGCCACAGTTCGGACTAAAATGCTTGCAGCTCTCCAGCAGCAGCAACAGGTGCTCTTGATTGCCACTGGAAAACGACCAGGTGCAAACCTTGCGAAGGGCTGGTCCAGTGACGCTTTCATGACTTGGCCTGCTTCCGATGTATTCCAATACGCATCACCTATCTCCTCCAAAGAAATCAGGAGCTCTTTTGGTGCATTGAGAGGATCGTCAGCTTCAGGTGGAGGAGCATCCAGTGCGATTCCCTTTGACCTCTTGAGGTCATCTCCTGCATACTGTCGCTGCCCTGGGAGCAACAGGGCCACCTCAACTTCTGTTAGGGTCATCAGCACTGATGACATGTACGTGCAGAAATGCAGACCAGCAAAACATGAATAACTGCACAAGCAACACCAAAGACAGGGCAACTGCTCTCAACAAGCTGAGCTGATTCTTCACTGCACTGATTCTTGTGTGCTGCATGCACAAATTATGGTAAACCTGGCCAATTTTCTGCATATGCTTACTGACGGCCTAACTTACAACATGAGAGTCTTGTCAGTGCCCGGGTTTCCCTCCACAGGCAGATTCTATCCGATCAAATGGTTGCCATTGTCTGGCAAGAGCTGCAACAGCACTCACCGATTGGGGTGGTCACTTCTTGCAAGAAAGATCCAGAGTCCTTGCGCACTGGGCATTGGAATCCAAGCGATGTGAAGAAAGGAACTGCCTGGGACACAGGCCCATGGAAAACAGAATGCCCTTCTGCAAGCATCAAGATGTCATCGAATTGCATAAACGTCTCAGGAGGAGGCTGCAAAAGGGTGATAATTGTTGTCAGCCTGTCCACATTTCAGAGACACAATCAGCTGCCGAAATATCCACCACCACTGCTAGAGATACGGTGCCTGTGCATATCAACCTCTGCCAGCTGTGCTGTTATCCTTCAGAATTGCCTTCAGCAAGACAAAGCAGTGCCCTTGCACTTTGTAGGGGATGACAGGCATGTTTACAACCAAAAATGCTGTTTGTCTCGGATCTGTTGATCTTCTCTGCTCTTCACCCTTGTCATCAGGCATTGCCACTATTGATGACGGTGGTGCTGGATTGTGTCTGGTGGCAGTTACCTTTGTAAGCACATCTCTCCAGCATGCTGATACTGTGGTCTGGCAATCCTTGACTGAAAATCGCATCTCTACAACTAGGCATCCCCAGCCTGAAAGTTGCATGCAGCAAAGTTGCAGGCATAGATCATCTGGGTCCCAATCATTTGAGCAGCAATCACCCCTTGCAAAAGATTCACCTCAGTGAGTGTGTTGCTTGCCGCAGCCACTTGATGACAGAGAACAAGGTGGCCGAATCCAGTCCTGTGGAAATGTCATCCATCAAAAGAACGGTCTTGGGACCCACAAGCATCTCAGCACTTGTGAGCCTCTTCTTCTCTCCTCCACTGATGCCTCTTGTCATGCTGTCACCAACCATCGTGTCCTTGCAACGCTCCAAACCTAGAAATTTGATGATCGCCTCCACCTTTACAGCAGTGCCCCAAATCTTCTGTATAAAGGCATCGAATTCGTCATCAGGCAGGTCTGCAGCTGCTGGAAGTGATGCTGATGCAGTGCCTGGGCAGAGATTCGCAGTCTCACCTAGAAAGCAGAAAGTGAAACACTAACTCTTCGAAGGCAATTTTGACAACGACGCCTCTGTCAGACAGCCATGCTCATGCTTGCATACAAATAATTCAGTTTGACACAATTACCACTTAGAAACGCGATGCCTGACGTTATATCGGCCCATACAGTACATAAGACATATCAATTCACCTCACTTGCATTCACAGCAGTCTGCCTGCGTTTATCCAGAAAACACTCCCCAGCCACACATGAATAGAGGACTAGCCACTAAGAGCTGCAGGAACATTGGTGGGCACACTTAGCAGAAGCACAGGCTGATGACAACAATGAGGGCTCACACTGCTCAGAATCTTCATTTGGGTGGCACATTATCTGGGCATTGCAGCTTTTCAGGGGGGCCTTTTCCCATTTCTGTTCAGTGGATGTCCATGTTGGTCCTCTGTTCTGAGCCATCAAATTGGACTTTGCACAATTAAACACACTGTTGGCTATTACCTACTGCATGGCGTTTAGAATTGAATGGCCCACCCCTCTGCAGGCATAACTAGCCCTTGTAGGGAACATATCCCACTTGAACACATATCATGCCAAGACTCTTGTGTTGTTTGGTGTGGCAGTGCAGACGTCCAGTTGGTGGCAGACTCTGGGTCTCCATTTCCATTTGGTACATTATGCTCCTTGAGCTGGGACTAATTTGGTTCCAACATTTCAGTCCAGGAAATCATACACGGAATTTACCAGTCCAGCAAGTGGGGATCATTGATCGTGTTCTGCTATCCGAATGGCAGAGCAGTTGGCAACGTGGGGGTGGACATTCCTTATCAAAAATTGCACGCATGTGCAGGTCAGTACTGCAACTCATGGCCACACCCTCAACAGAGAATGTAAGAAACGCCCTTTCTGTTCATGCTGACTGGAGTCGAATACAGAACAGCAAAACCAACAGCTTGTGTTTGAAGTTGAGGAACTAAGGCTCCTGGGAGGAATGCTGAAACCCGTACGTTGCTGCCTGGCCCTCATTCAGACAGATGTCACACTTCATTAAGCAAAGAAATTACACTGCCCATATGCTGTCTTTGTTGGCTTGGCATTATCCTAAGAATGGATGTGCTTCAGATACAGGTTGTTCCTGCATTTGTCCGTTCTAGTTTGTTCGGCTCATTGCGTGCCAACGTGCCAGACAGTGCAGCCACATCGTTACAATCAACAACATGGAACTACTCAACGAATTCGACATCATTCAGCCTTGCCACTCCTGAAAATGAACAAGCTGCACATTCAAATGAACAGCTCAACGGAGTTCTTGAGCTCTTAAGAATGAAGAAAACTTTGTGCAACAGGCATCCCCCTCCAAACAGGCCAAGGTTCATACTGTTACCATGTTCAATATCATCCAATTCCTGCTCATTTGCTCCAGCCTCTGCATGACGCTGTCCATTCAAAGGAGCAGCTGCCTGGTTGAACTCTTTGCTCAGATTCCAGTCTGGACCTTCATAGCCCACCTGACACCTGCGCATGGGCATGTTGGCAGCAAAAGTCTGAGAGAACACAAACCATTATGCAATTTCCCTTGCATTGGATAGAGTGCTTTGAGTTAAATCAACATGCACTGCTGAGTGCTGGTATGCCAGAGCCAAACAAGGATCTGGACAAATGCAACCCAAAAGCTAGCCACACCCTCCTAGTTTTCCCAATCGCTTTCCAAGAACAAAATAACAAAATCTGCACTCACCTGTGGGCGAAGGTCAGGGTTTCATGGACAGACATGGTCCCCAAGTGGTTGTCCAATTGCTCGACATGTGCTGTTGTCCTTTCAATTATGAACTCGTTTTGCTGTGCGCCATTGTACCGAATGCTGCCAGAGACCTGTCAAACAATCCCAGCAGCCTGATTTCGTTTGTGTCTCAAAGACGATGCACTGATTTCATACTCTCGTGCTGAACAGTAAAGTTGCATCCACAGTTAATGCCCATCAACATGATGCATAGCTTGATCTGGCCTTATGCCCAGCCTACCAGTATCGACTGCATTCTACTCCAGGCCATGGAACTAAGCCAGCACAGGAGCATGGACAAAAGCTAGATGTGCTGGAGCAGTCACTTTATGTTCGCATGTTCACTTTCAATGCCCTCAAGTCGCTAAGCATGCTACCCATTCATGCACCATGTGGGGCATCTTGGAGTGTGGTCAGCTTTGCCATATCATGACAGTACAGACAGCATTACATCAGCACTAAAAATACTCAGTACAGATCAGCAGGTCACGATTTCCAGTAGTTCCACATGTGCTGGTGGTGTTTATGGAAAAGGCTGCTGATCACCTGTGAAATCAGGTCCCCACAACATGCAGAAGGTGGAGCACGTAACTCAGCAGTTGACAGCAACTTGAATACTCACACAGACACAGCTCCATAGACCACGAGGCATTCACCGTATCTATTGTGCCATGATCTCCACATTTTGTGCCATCATGAATCCTGTAGTGTGATGCTCAAGCCCAACGAATTCAACTGATCGCTTCAGCTGTCATGAAGGTGTGCAACAAAGCACCCCATATCCAGCAAGGGCGAAACAAAGTAGAGTGGGATTCTTGTTGTCAACTCTCATCAATTCTTCTCACCTTTAAACTGTTTTGAGCCTTCAGCCTTCCTGCCAATGCTTTCAACAGCACGCTTTTTCCAGACCCAGGAGCCCCAAGAACCAATGACATGCGACCCTTGAAACAACAAAGGGCACTTCAATCCCAAACTGTCTGCAATACTGGCACTGCAGCACCCTCCACAACTGCCTCAACAGTCCAGTGTCCTAAGAAAGTCAAAGGGGCAAGTGTGCGATGACAGCGTCCTCAGGAAGACAGTGAGTTGGTGCCAATGGCACAAACAATTCAAACAGCGGGAAAGACAAGAAAACAAAGGTGTCCACAGTATCCAGCCAGAGCTTGCACTTCAAAGGACAACGTGCCATGAGACTGTCAACAAGGGTATTCTGTACTGAACAACGGCACAACCTCACAACACTTGCTGTCAAACTGTGTATTTTGGGTAACATATTCCCACAAAACAACTTCACATTCGCAGAGTGTTATTGTGGCACAGAACTGCATGCTCTTCAACACAGAGGTGTTGGAGATGGGTGGGAAAGTAACTGCAATAAAAATGTTCCAATCCACTGAAATGACAGTGGCATGCCATCAGAGGCCAAAGCTATGAATGGCAAAAAGCTTTGAAGCCTATCAAAATGTTGTTGCAAGTGCACAACTGATTCTGCAACTTGGGTGTGTCTGCGGTACTCACTGGCTTAAACACACCGCTGATGCCCTTCAATATGTGCATCTGCTTTTTCTCGGATGGTGCACAAGTCAGCTTGCTGAACATTCCCTATACCATGACACACAGAGCCACAAGCAAAAGTTGGCAATCAAATGGCCAAAATTCTTCCACATCTTTATGGAAACACAGTATTTATTACTCCACTCGTCAGGAGGGTAACATTCATGTTTGGGAAACACATCAGCAGTCGACAATGTCATCTTTTGCAATCAACGACAACTTGTCCTGCGAGTGGGAACAGCAATATGGGCACTTGGCAAAGGCCGCATAAGAATTCCTGAATAAAAGACTGTCTCACACGACAGCGTTCACGAATCAGCACACCCGGCAAAGGTCTTGGCGGCCCAAGCACTGGAGGTGTACTATTAAAGGTATATTTTTCAGAATGGCCCACTTGATGCACAGTACTGTTGCGCTTTGCGCGTGGCTGACGGATGGCTGTCAAGTGGCGCAGGGGAGACAAGTTGCTGTACCGCCACCGATTCGCGCTGTTTCAAAATGTGACACGGCCAGTTTTCGTCTCGACCCTTGCGCGCTTCGGCACTTGTGTACGCACCGTCACGGCCTGCAATGCAGCGTTGGTCAGAGAGGGGATGGCTTGAGAGCCGACCACAGCGTCAGCCTCGACCGAAAGATTCCGCACTTCAACAGTGACGCTGGGGATGGATATCTTCTTCTGTTCCAGCCGACTCGCGAGGCGCTCCATGAACGTCAGTCTCCCGTTGCCAGGGCCCGACCCCAGCTTCACAAGTTGCTCAGCCAGCTCTTCCATTTCCCCGCGCGACAGGTGCCTGGAGCGCTGCCTTGAGTGCGCCTCCACCATGTTTGCGACTGCGCAAGCGTAGACAACCTCGCAGTAGTGGCAACCTGTGCAGCAACCAATCGCACGTCCAGTCCGCCCGAGGGAGCGACCCGGCTGTACTGTACTGCTTCTTTTCCCAGGAAGGTTGCCATCCGGCACGGGAGAGAACAAAGCACGGACAAAGAAGGCCTCCAATTGGCCAAACGAGCATTGAGGCAACCTTCGGAACGTCACAGACTCCGCACTAATGCAACGAGGCCGCAGTCGGCAAACCAAACGTCGAAGCAGGCCCATGCATCCGCAAAGCAAACTGAGAGGTGTCCAACAATGTTTTGCAGCGGGCAGAACCAATACAGATATCAACGGCGAGTGATCAGTCAGCCGCAGAGTTGTTGTCATGCACATTCCGCACACGCCGAAGCAGGCCAGATGTGGTATGCGCCCTGCGGTGCCCACCGTCGTCGTTCAGTCGCAGCCTTCCGAAACGGTGCGCACGCGGATCTTCGTTGTCCGGCGAGGAGTGGCGAGGGCGTTTCCACACCTCGCCGAACAAGGGTGCTGGGCAGAGCAGGGGTGCCGACAGATCCCGCGCGGGCGGCCCCCCAAATACCCCCAGCCTGCTCCCTCCCTCTTACTTCGCTATTACGCTCAATTCTGCTGCCACAAAACCGGGACACACATGACGTGGGCCAATCCGATGCTGGCACGTCAACCACTTGCAACGGCAGGTTGACTACTGCCCCATTCAATGCACTCCAAAAGCGCCCGTTCCACGGGCACCAGCAGTCGCCACGGCTGCCTTTACGTAATGAACCCCCCCCCTTTTTCATCGTGACACTGCGTTTAGGGGTGTTCCAGCGGACAACAGGTTGAAATCGTTGCGTAAGCAAGGACGGACGCCGAATACCATCAACAGATGGGTAACCGAGCTGTTCGCAACACCGCATAATGACCACCATTTCACTGGGTGGATCACTTATGCGTAATGGTGTGCGACTTGTATGCACTTTGAGAATATAGTTTACAAGGCATTCTGGCTGGTTGATGATGGATGATGATCCTTGCCACATGAAAAGGAAAGTCCTGTGGGTGCAAGAAGATTCGAACGGTTCGGTTGCGGGGGTCGTTGCCACCGTTGGCAAGGCTCTTCGCTATGAGAAGGGTGAACAAATATGTAAGCCCTGGGCGTTTTGCGTGTGGCGTGGCCTTGCGTCTGGCCGTGTGCCAACCCGTTGAAGCATCGGCGATCGTGGATTCGCGCTTCCCGTGTGCACTCCAAAGGTAGCCGTTTGAATTACATCAACGGCCTTTCCTTCAAGAGAGCGACAACGATCAACACAAACATCTGCTCATAAAGCAGAAGCGCGGATCATCTGTTGCGGCCCCGTCGGCAGCCGCTGGTTTCCGGAGGCGTTGGGGTTGCCCTGCCCTGCAGCTCGGCTATTGGAGGTCAACCGGCCCTCTCCACCTTGGACGGTGGGCGTATCCGGGGCAGTCGCTCCTGTGGTCGCGCGGTGGGCCCAATGCTCGACGGGGATCGAGCCCCGGGGCCTGCTATCGGCGAGTGGTGGCGGCGCAGCGAGGCGGTGGTTCTCTGGCTCGCGGGAGGCCAAAGAGTGGGCCAGAACGGTTACACGGATTCACAGCATGTGCGCGCACATATCGCATGCGCGATGCCCGATCGCGGGTCCATCGCTGTCACATCAAGACAAGACAACTCATGTGCACGTCCAGGTACCCAGTCACCATCCACCGTTCACCTACGATCGACCATTGTCCTCTAATTCCAAGCGTCTAACACCCGACCCCCCTGGCCCTAAGTACTACGATTTTAGGAGGCCATATCTTCGCCGTTTCTTAACGGAATCGGGCGTTTAAAAGCTCGTTGGAACTAGGAAGCTATTAATAACATTTATAAAAGGCTAATTTAACCAATTACATAATTCCCACTCCAGAAATGTCAAATAAGTCTAAACCCCAAGCAACCACATTACAATACTCCCCCCTTGGAGTAGCTTTCGCCCCCGAAAGCACACTATCCCATACTAGTATCTTCCTTGGGCTTGTCCCTCTTGATCATCTTCTGGAGCTCTCTGGCGTAGGTGAAATTTCCAGCCAGTATCTAGGAGGCATCGTCAATACTCCACCTTGTCCATAACACCAAAAACTCCTTATGCCTCCTGCCACTGGGTCCTGCCCATCTCCATCGCAGCAGCTTCTCAACTTCGTACGGTTCATTAGCTTCTGGCTCGATCTCGGCATCATCTGTCTCCTGTGGGGTAGACCATCTGGACGATCTGAATGGTCATAGCAAACTGGTGTGAAAGACGTTATGTATCCTCTACCCTTCTGGTAGCTTCAATTCGTAGGCCACTGATCCCACCTGACGGACCACAGCAAATGGTCCAACGAATCGTCGCTTCAGTTTGCGTGCAGGTGCATTCTTTAACTGTAGATGTTCTGTACTGAGTAGCACCTGTTCCCCACTGTAAAACCTCTGCTCTCTGCGCCGGTAATCGGCCTGATGCTTCTGTCTCTGCTGAGCCTGATGAACTGACTGCATCACCATTCTGAAGGTCTTCTTCACCCTGTTGACAGATATTGACACCCTCAATGTTGGTCTGGTCTACATCCTTAATCAGGTCCAATGGGGTCACTGGCTCAAAGCCATAGTTCAAATAAAAGAGCGTGTACCCCGTGGATGGCGATGCGCTGCTGTTGATCACGAATTCCACCATGGGCAAGTATTTCTCCCAATGAGTGACTTCCTGACTGCCATGGATCGTACACCTGAGGACTTGCTCCACCACCCTGTTGGCTGCCTCTGTCTGTCCATCTGTCTGGGGGTGGTGAGCGCTGGACATCCTCAACTTGCTGCCCAAAATCTTCCAGAATTCTTGCCAAAACTTTGACACAAATCTGGGATCTCGGTCATTGACGATCGATCTGGGGATCCCGTGTAGTCGTCCAATTTGTTCCCAGTAGAGTCGAGCAGTCTCAGCAGTAGTAATGGTCTGCTGAACGGGTATCAAGTGTACCATCTTTGTAGCTCGGTCTACAACCGTGAGGATCCCATTGTTTTTCCTTTCACTGATCGGTAGACCCATGATGAAGTCGAGGCTGACATCACTCCATTTTTCCTCTGGAAGTTGCAATGGCTGAAGGAGTCCTGTTGGCAACTTGTGGACACTCTTTTCTGACTAGCAGACCTCACATCCCAGCACAAAGTCTCTTACATCTACTGTGTGATCTGGCCAGTAGAAATTCTGCTGTAATTTCTTGAGTGTCTTGTGGTAACCAAGATGTCCCGCATATGGTACTGTATATATATTTGCTATAATTTTCTTGTGGACGTCCTCCACATCTGGTACCACCAATCTCCAAGGTTGCCTGTCCTCGGTGCTGTCCTTCAACTTGATCTCAATAAATCTATGGTTCAATCGGTAGTCACGATTCCCGATCCTGGTGACTCGTCCTTGGGCAGATTCCAACTGATTCAAAACTTCTGCCCATCTGCTGTCTTGCTTATAGCCCTCTTTTATAGAGTTCCTCAAGTCTTCCTCTAGAGTAATCCTGGTGCTGGTCACCAATAAAAGAATGTAAAAAGTTTTGTTCCCCACTTGCAGCCACCACTGCACCCTCAGGATTGGACTTTTTAAATATTTCGTCTAGTTTCTTTTGAATATCGTTTTCCCCACTGTCACCTTCATGGAGACGAAGACGCTGAACCAAGGACTCCTCTTCTGCACACACATCTGCCATGCACCTCAACTCCTGAATACTCCTACGCATGAGAAAATCTGCAGGGTTGTCCTTTCCTGGTATGTGGACAACATCGCAATCATAGCCCTCAGAACCTACACCCATTTCCACACCCTCCCATTCACTGCAGGCTGGTTGGGCAGGTTTTTCAAGAAGTCATGATCTGTCTGGATGACGGAGTGGCGGCTGGCCAAGTAGTGCCGCCATTTCCCAACAGCTCAAGTGATGCCCAGTAATTCACGCTCGTATGCACTATACCGGGTCTCGGCCGGGTTGAGCTTCCTACTCTTATAGCAAACGGGTTGCAGCCCGTTGCCGAAGTCCTGCTGTAGTATACCACCCACTGAAAGGCCTGATGCATCTGTGGTAACCACAAACTCCCAGTCGAAGTCCGGTAACTGCAGAACTGGTGCAGTCACCATCACTGTCTTCAAACGATTAAATGATTTTTCTGCTTCATCATCCTAAACAAAGGTCTTGTCCTTCTTCGTCAAGTCCGTCATGCGCGCTGCCAGCTCGCTGAACCACCGTATAAACTTGCGATAAAAACTGCACAACCCCAAAAATGAATGGACATCGGTGACATTTTCTGGTGTCGGCCAATTCAAAATTGCTTGAACCTTGGACAGTGAAGGCTTGATCCCCTCAGTCCCCACATCAAAGCCCAAATACTCCACCTCGGTTCTGACGAAGTCACATTTCTTTAATCTCCCAAACAACTTCGCTGACCGTAGGCGGGTCAGAACTTCCCTGATGTGCTGTATGTGTTCCTCCTTTGTCTGGCTGTAGATCAAGATATCATCAAGGAACACTAGCACGAACTGGTCCAAGCCTTCCCTCAAAATTGTGTTCATTATCCTCTGGAAGGTAGCTGATGCGTTGCACAATCCGAATGGCATGACAAGGTACTCAAAATTGCCATATCGACTCACAAAGGCTGCCTTGTGTACTAGAGGTGGCCACCCGGATCCGTTAATAGCGGACATAGGTTAATTTCCATTAATTTTCCGTTAATTAATGGAAAATAACGAAAAAAGACAAAAATTAACCAAAAATTAACGGATTTTTGGATTTTTTGGGGATTTTTGGGTTTTAGTCATACTTATAGTTTATGGAATTCGCTATTAGAGAGTATGTTTATATTTTATTTCAACCTATGCATACTAGATTTTCAACTAGCCGCAGTTGTTGTGATTTTTTGGGTTTTTTTTCGATTTTTTTGGATTTTTTCGTTTTTTCTGAATTTTTCTCCCTTTTTC